AGATTGCTACTTGCTAGCAGAATGTCATCCACATATAGCAGCATGAGGATGAAATTCCTTCCATTGAATTTCATATAGATGCATTCATCCAATGGATTATCAATGAAGCCTTGGGACTTAACAACTTCATCAAACTTGAGATACCATTGTCTTGATGCCTGTTTTAGACCATATATTGATTTCTGCAGTTTGCACACTAAATTCTCTTCCCCTTTTGAGCCAAAACCATCCGGCTGTTTCATATATATTTCTTCAATCAGTTCTCCATTTAGGAAAGCTGTCTTAACGTCCATCTGATGAAGATGCAGATCAAAATGAGCAACCAAAGCCATTATGACTCTAAATGAATCTTTAGTTGATACAGGGGAGAAAGTTTCATTGTAATCAACTCCCTCTTCTTGTGTGTAACCTTTTGCCACTAATCTGGCTTTATACCTGTCTATTTGTCCTTGTGCATTCCTTTTGGTTTTATAAACCCACTTGCATCCTATAGGTTTGCATCCTAATGGCAAATTAACTAGTTTCCATACTCCATTTTTGCTCATTGATTCTAGTTCAGATTCCATGGCTGCAGACCACTGTGAACTTTTGTCACTTTCCATGGCCTGCTTGAAAGTTGCAGGGTCTTCCTCAGTATTGATGTCATGCTCTGATTCTTGCAGGTAAACAAAGTAGTCATTTGACAAGGCTGGCCTTTTAGGTCTCTGTGATCTCCTGAGCTGTAAATATGGACCCAGTTCTGGCTGATCTGGAGCCAGTTCTGGCTGAGCTGGAGCCAGTTCTGGCTGAGCTGTAGCCAGTTCTGGCTGGTTTTCTTCCAAAACTTCATCAAAAACAAAATCTGTTTCATCTAATCCTTCCTCCTCTTCTTCAATAAAAATTGCTCTCTGTGTTTCCACAAATCTAGTGTTATTTTTAGGACAATAAAACCTATAACCTTTTGTCCTATCTGGATATCCTATGAAGAAACAGCTCACTGTTTTGGAATCAAGTTTCTTCTGCATAGGATTGTACAGCTTTGCCTCTGCCTTGCATCCCCAGGTCCTTAGATGAGCCAAGCTAGGCTTTCTTTTACACCAGATTTCGTAGGGTATGTTGTTT